CGGTCACCTAGAGCACAGGACATCTGCATTCAGTTGTCCCAACAGGACCAAGAGCAATTCCTTTCCCCCATTAAAATGACCAAAGCTTACCCAGGAGAAGTGAAGTGTCTTCCTCTGAGTGCCATGCTTGAAGGGTTTATTTTTATTTGATGAGGTCTGGGTCATTTTCCATCACTAAGAGTCTCATGGCTTCCTTCACCACCAGGTTGAACACGCCAGCCAAATCCAGGTACTTAGTATCTTTGTCTTGGAGTTCCCAAATCTGTGGACTAGAAGGGTGATTCTTCCCTCTCCCTGCTGGCTGTCAGGCTGATGTGTTGAACGTAGCAGTGCGCTATGCCGCCTGTGGGAAGGGGCAGTTGGGCCACAGCCACGGCTGTGTCCTCTGCTCCCTGGACCTCTGTGAATTCAGGAGCAGAGGATTTGGTGGGGTCAGAACTCAAGGGCGGGTGAGCAGACCTGGTGAGGGTTAAAAGCTTAGGGGGAAAAATGGAAGAAAACTTAAATTCCTATACAGGTGCTTTAGCTGGTCTTCTCACACTTGCATTTATTCAGGTGCTAATGCTAGGAATTTCATGTGAATTATATTGTTAAGTTTCATTATTTCCCAATCCCATAAGTTTGGTACAATTATTTCCCCAATTTAAAATTTAATTTAATTTCTTTTTGTGGTATTGGGGATTGAATGTAGGAGCTTTATGCTGAGATAAACTCCCTATTCTCTTCTTCTTGGTCTTCTAAATTTTAAAAATTTTGATATGAGATCTACATTGCTGAGTTACTCTGACTGCGCTTGAACTTGAGATCCTCCTGACTCAACCTGGGATTATTGGTATGTATACCCTGATACGTGTCCATGTTATTAGGTAAAGTACTTGTGAATATATAAGGTTAAGCAGTGTGCTTCAAGTGACATCGCTATCATTAGATTCCAGGTCTTCCTTTTGGTAACTAAAATACTACATTTTTATTTAAATATTACACAAAATAAAGTATTAAAAATGATAAATAACAACAATAATTCATGCAGTGAAAATCAGCCCTCATGAATATGGTGGTGAATATCTTTCCAGTGTTTGTTTTTTGTGATTATATGTATTTTGTAAACTGTTGTAAGTATACTATATACAGTATTTTGCAATCTGCTTTTTGAAAATTCTAACTTTATTTTTTAAGGAGATTTATACAATGTCGTTTTTGGAGATTATGTACCATTCTAATTCATTAATAAATTACTATTAATCTATTTTTTAAACTTTAAATATTTAATTTATAGTCAGTTTGCTATAAAATATAACTAGATTTTTATACACAAATATTTTGTAATTCATGACAGTCTAATTCAGCTCTATTTGCAGAAGCAGAATTGATTCTTTAAAGGAACAAAATTCTTTCGTTCACATTGTGTAGCTGTAATAAAATTTTGCAATAGAGTGTAACTTAAAGGATTCTAAGTTGAGATCATTCACATTATCCATGTATAAATTCTACAGAGAAATAAGTTCATAGATTTCCTGTATCTACACCTATTGTAATATCAGTTTAAAGGTCCTTTAGGAACTCAAGGGAATTTTGTTCAGGGTTTGTGTGTGTGTGTGTGTGTGTGTGTGTGTGTGTGTGTGCGCGTGTGTGTGTGTGTGTGTGTGTGTGTGTGTGATGTATGAAGAGAGGTAAAGACACTGTAGGGAAACAGAAAGTATAAAAATTCTGGCTCAGGTCACCTTCCTTTCTCCTTTCATCTTCCCTCCCCCCTTCCTTCCTTCCTTCCTTCCTTCCTTCCTTCCTTCCTTCCTTCCTTCCTCCCTCCCTTGTCTCCCTCCCTCTATATTTCCCTTTCCTTTCCTCCCTCCCTCCTTCCCTTCCTCTTTCCTTCCTTCCTTTCTTCCAGTGACTTATGTCGGCACACACTCTCATGGGGGTTCCTCTCTGTGGAATGGACACAGGTTGATGCCTTCAAGAAAGGACTCCTGTGTGCAGGATGGTCCACTGTTTAGAAATTACCATAACCAGGTCATCAAAACTTTGGGTGTGTGATTATCAAGTGCAACACAGAAATCCCTTAGTAAGCTCAGACGGTTCACTACAGTGATGTCATCCCTTGGCCAAGCTCCTACTGCACCCGTATGACTCCTGAGCCTGTAAATGAGCAGCTGGAGCTGCAAACAAAGCTGACTGTACGAGAATGCAGAGAGCCCCACTGGGTTCTGCCTGTGTGCGGAAGTCTACTGATCAGAAGAGAAAGGATGGCCCTAGAGCAGAAAGCCAGAGGCAGCTCCTTGGCGTGTCTTCCTGCACTGGTCTATCTAAATTCGTCTGGTGCAAGCAGGCCACACCCAGAACTCTAGCAATGGACGTCACTTCTGGGCCTGAGACGTGAAACCAAGTCCAGCTCCACACCAGACCACGGTGCTTTTGTTCAGAGGCCTCCCAGAGAATGTTCGGACAGTGCTGTGAGGGTTGTGGACAGTTTTTCTTAGTTTTTTAGGCAGAGAGATGGGATTATGGATCTGTATTTAGGTTTTGTGTTTCTGGAGGTGCTATTAAATGAATTTCTTACTTTCTCCAGCAAATGACCTTGCTTTTCCTGCTACTAACTGGGAGCGTGCCCACCTCCTGACTTTCTACTGAAGGTGATATCTTTCTGCCTTTTTACCCTTATGGTGCCTGATAACTAGTAAGTCAATGATGGAGGACCTACTAGTTATCATAGTACACAGCACTTTCATCCATGTTTACTAAGTCTGTGGGAAATGCTCTCCAGAGGAGAGAGTGCTCCCTAAGAACTGTTTGAAGCCTGAGGAAGGCTTAGTGGTAGGGCTTCCAAGACACAGGTGAATTTCACTCAGATGGGAAGTAGTTGTAGTAAAGCAGGAGAATTTCACACAAGGAAGTAGAAGGTGGAATAAAGCCAGATGAGACCAGAGAGCACATGGAAGAAGAAAATGCTCTATTATAACACAAGTCAATTAATTTATTTTTATTTTTTGCTTTCTACTATCCACTATTGTAAAAACTTAAAGTGCCAGTGTTTTGGGAACACCAGCCAAGACCCCTTCTGAAAGGAAATGGACTGTTATTTTCGTGCATTTTGTTAGTACATTACTAACAAAGAATTATTGAGAATTATTTGAGAATTATTTTTTATTTGGAATGCACATAATTTTCACTAGACACTATCAACTGAAAAATTATTTGACCTAATAAGATCTCTAAAATATAATACTTAGCTTCAAATGATGTCTATTAGTATGATGGCACACAAATTTATTACTATGATTGAACATCAGTTTATTATGCCTTTTACAGCACATCAATTATTGAAGTTAACTATAGCTTTCTAAGTTTATTTTTTAAAAAGAAGATAGTGTAATAAGGGATTTACCTCAACACGTTAGAATGAACTGTATAGGTTGCACCTTTTCCCATGGAAACAAGTAGACTTTCTTTCTTTCTTTCTTTGTTTCTTTCTTTCTTTCTTTCTTTCTTTCTTTCTTTCTTTCTTTCTTTCGACAGGATCTCCCTATGCAGTTAAGGCTGATGTTAAACTCACTAGGTAGCCCAGGATGGCCTTGAACTCATGGCAATCCTCCTGTCTCAGCCACCTAAGTGCTGGGATTACAAGCATGCACCATACCTGGCAGAATTTTGGTTTCAAAAGCATTTGCAGTACCTCCAGTTGGGTCTCAGAACAACTCTCTTGCATCCGAATATCTAAACAAGCATCTCAGGCGAATATATGGCATCCTAAAGCTTGAAAAATGGCTGAAGTCTTGAAAAGGCTGTATTTGGAGTCTTCTTGTGTTTATGTAGATAAAATCCTGTAGCTCCTGAGCACTGACTATATGAGAGACCCTGCACCTTCCCAGGGTGGGAGGGGTGTGAGGGACAAACAGGACAGGTCCTTCCTTCAAGGAAGTAGACTCTTAGGGAAAAAGAATAAGAATAACGAATACAACTGGAAGTGATGTGTTTGCTTTAAAATGAAGGTTCTGTGAGAGCAGGAGCAATTTTTAGAGGAGGAGCCTGGGCTTACACAGGTAGAGGGCATTCTGTGTGTGTGTGTGCAGGGAACAACTGGAATGTGTCTGTGAGTGGCCGCTGTATTTCAGGAGGCACAACTGGTGAAACTGGAGGCAGTAAAGTGACAGTGCATGGCAGTAGGGTCATTGCTACCCTGACCAGCCCTGGGGAGACAGAAGCTGCGGCTGAGAGATGGTTTGGGGTGCGTCCGAGGCAGGTTGGACTCTGCGTTCAGCGGACATGGCGGGAAGTTGGAGGATCGATCCCATCGAGGCAGAGATCAGAGTGGAAACTACCACTAGACGGACTGTGTGAACAGTCATGGGGCTGAAGTCAGAGAGCCAAGTGCGAGGTCAAAGCCGATTAGAGAGGAAGCAATAGGAAAAGCAAGCAGCAGAGAGCTGCACAAAAGTACTGAAGAAAACACAGATTCCACTTGATGTTTAATTAGATATGGTGGGGGTGGTGAGGCTCAGGCAGGGTGACTCAGGTTTGGAGCCAGGGAGAACAAGTGTACCCTTCGCAGGCAAGGAAGTCAGCAGACACTGGTTCTGGGGGAAGTTTAATTTTAGAAATTTGAAGTTTGAGGTGCAGCCAGGGTATCCAAATTTAATCCCTTTACTGAACCTTGTATCACAGAGGCTACAAGGCCACTCCATTACCAGCGTCCAGCTGTTAACCAGGCACCTATCTTACCTTGCTCAGTGGGAGCCTTCCCTTCCCACAGGCTCCTAGTTTCTTCTTGGACAGGTGGTCATCAGGACTCTCCCGTGCATGTTTGGATCTGATGTTGGAGCATCTGTGAGATAAATCAGCTTCTTCCCTTGCTGCTGTCAATAACTTCTCCCTTGAAGCTGTCAAGGGGTCACTATGATGGTCTTCATAAGGGTTTCGGCCATGCCAGGAAAGCTGTGGAGAATAGACAGGGAGGCCCAGGGTAAGAATGTCCCATCTGACCACTGCATACGATTTTACACTTAGGCCAGTGGAACTGAAACACTGGAGGGAAGTCACAGGTAGAGAGACGGAGGGACTGATTTGGGAGTCCTCTGGATTCGGTGGACGAGCAGAGAAGCACGAGATTTTCTGAGCCTGAGCTCTGGTAAGTTCTATTTCATCATTCACATTGCGTTGGTGGCTGGCTGCGTCTTCTAAGTAGATCACACCGCACCGTGGTTCAGCGAGTCATTCCTAGTCCTGTTTTTCTTCAGTTCTGTCCTGTCTCCTTTCCTAATCAACCTCCTCTTATCTCTAACCATGCTCAGTCTAAGCCTTCCCTGTATAGTAGCCAATGGATGTGGAAGTTCTGTTCTTTTACCTAAATCTTATTTGCAACAATGTGGAAATAAAGAATGCAGCATGAGTGTTCTGAAGCATATTTGTGAAGTGAGACTGATAAACTATTGTCTTGCTGTGTACAGAACCATGATAAAGTGAAAAAATGTTTTTTTTTTTTTTTGTATTAAGTAGAGGATAAGAGGAAATAATTTTCTAATTCAGCCAGAGGTACCTTGCCTAACTAAGCGAGTTACGCCTTGCATAACAAAGACATTTTTGAGTTAGGGAATGTCGATAAATCAGTTGGAAAGAGTTCAGCAAAGATGAGTGTAATGTGTTTTCTCTTTTTCTGCAGATTTCTATGAATAGATCAGAAGCTGACCTCTATGCATTGTTGGGGTGCAGGTGAGAGATTTGAGGGAAATTGAATGGAACCCCTGTCTTTCACCTCGCCTCTGCCCCTGGGTGCATTTGCCCCCTAATTCTCATCTCTGAGGCTCCTGTCCTGCACCCACCCAGCTCTTCCGTCTGGTACCTCGGATGGCTGCAGGACAGAAGTGGCTGGTGGTGGACGCAGGGTGGATTTTCAGGCAGTACTTTTCCTCTTTTCTAACTTCTCTCTCTGACCAGCAAAGACTAAATGAGGTAAACTGTAGTCTAGGAACTTTTCAGTTCTATAATTTTGTGAGTCAGAGATGAGTGTTTCCAGTAATTTCCTTGCTTCTTGGTTATTTTTTATTCTGCCTTATGGAATCCACCTAGTTAACTGATTATCTAATGACTATTGGCAGGATGGCGGGCAAGTTATAATCTTGAAACTTATTTTCCTATGCCAAAGTGAGCCTGATAAAATTTAAATGACAATTTTGTTTAAAGAATGAAAGGTGGTCATGTGTAGTTCCTAGAACTCTTATTTGATTGAAAAATAAAAACAATTTTCTGCAATTTACCAATAGTATTGAGATGTGCTAACTTCATTACTAAGTCTGAATTTCAGTATTTTTTTTGGGAACCAGGGAATGAACTCACAACCTTATGCCTGCCAGGTAGGTGCTTAGAATTGAACTCAGACCCTTGTGCTTGCCAGGCAGGTGTTTATGTCACTGAGCTATATCCCTGGCCTCTGAATTTCAGTTTTGAGCATGGATTAGGACAGTTGTATACTGCATCAATGTTTTTGAAGATGCAAATTTAGTTTATTTAAGGCAAGAGAAGAAGAGTGCAAAAGAAAGCTTCTGAAGAAAACATGCTCTGAACAGAAGTGTCCTGCAGAGTAAGAGGCCAGGTAAGGCAGGAAGAAAGGCGCTCACTGCAGAGTGAGGGCTGGCTGAGCAAAGGCTCACAGCAGCCCACACCGAGTTACAGTAGCATCTGCTTCTGCTCTTCCCGTGTATAAGGAGCTTTGTCAAACACTCCACATGGATGTAATTACCACTCCAACATCAGGTGGTAGGCTGCTATCTTCTTTAAACAGCCTGGGCCTGGTAACTTGCCTGGTGCTAGCCTATTCTCTGGCACTGAGGCCATCACCATCAGTCTGTTACGCTGCTTTCATGTAACCATCTGCTAACATCTGTGTCCGATTTTACAAGTGTCACATTTAAACTTGAGCAGTTCTACTATAACTGGGTGGTGGACAATGAGGTGAGAAAGCTTGCAACTGGACTGGACAAAAATTCTGAGAATGGAATTGAGTTGGACAATGGGATACATTCATGGTGAGGGGCACCTGGAGACAACTTTTCTGGAACATTGGTTAAAAGCATGGGTACTGGAACCCTAGTCCTTGTGTTTGTACTTTGTCGCTGTCACACAGAAGCTCTGTGAGGGAGGCGAGCTCAGCTTTCTGAGCTATGACCTCGTCTGTCAAATGGTGATGACGTGACCTGCCATGCAGAGCAGACCCACGGATCCAGGTGGTAGACACGGGTTCTTCAAACAGTGACTGATGCTCGTTGAGTCCCACTAGAAGTTGTTAGCTTTTCTCTGTCCACCACTTTTTCTGTCTCTTCAGGTTGTCTCTGGGGTGGGGATGCTTGCTAAGTCTTTAAGGATACAAGGATGCTTGTTCAAAGTCAACTGTTACTCAGCTATCTCCCACCTTCAGAGAATGATTGCTTGAGATTACAATTAGTTTTTTGATTAATTATCTTTTAAATGCCTAACTCTAAATTTCAGTTTTTGAGATGGAAAACTACTTAATAAACTGGGTGTGGTGATGCATATCCATAATCCTAGCATTTGAGAGCCTGAGACAGGAGGATTGTTATGAGTTCAAGGCCAGCCCGAACTACACAGTTAGACCCTGTCTCCAAAAACAAAACAACAATAAAAATCAGTATTAGTAATGTCCACATATATCAAATGATCCAGTTGGCCTTATTTTTAGTAATAATTTCAAATTAGAAGTAAAAGTGATTTAAAAACAGACAGCGTTGTGGATTCTTTGTTCTTTTTATGCGTGCCTGGGAACAGGGACACATCTTAGCCTTTTTGCTTGGCTCAAGGAGTTAATAAAGTAACGTTATGTAAAGTGCATGGAACTCCTCAGGAGAGAAGTGTTATATTAATACCTGTCTCGCAGTGATGTTCTAGGACTTAATGATGGAAAGTTTGCAAATTGCCTTGGTAGTCCCAGCCACATCCTGATGAAACATCATTTTGTTTTATTGCAAAGCGTTCCGGAGTTTACACAGAATGCAAGTTAAGGGGGAAATCATGTCCCAGTCGTTATTTTACAATCAGAAGTGCATAAAATAAAGAGAAGACATTTTGTTCCAGTTGTCAGTGGTAGAGCTGATCATTTTTTTCCTTTCTCTTACTTTTGGTAGGAGATGGAGCTCAGAGCGCAGTTGTAATTGAACACTCACTGGGAGCGTAATGGAAGACACAGAGACCTTAATCCAGAGAGATCGTTAAGGTCACCAATATTCAAATATTTTAAAATTGCATTCCAGTTTTAGAAGAGCCCAGCTCCTTTTTATATGATTACTATTAAGTTTGGCATTTTTGAGACGTGTCTTAAATCAATACCTGTAATACCTACAGACATCAGTAGGGAGAAGAGTATTGTAAACACGTACCCTTGCTGTAGGGTCCATTTTAAATGTCTAAACACTAATCAATATCGTGAAATTAAGTATTGACTAAAATAGTTTTATAATAAGTAATTATTGGTTTGCTCTTTTAGAAATTAGACATTTTCACTGTGGGAATAAAGAGTAAATTTGCTGTCATGAAATTAAAGTGTTTTTGACCTTTTTGTACAACTTTCCTCTCTCTATGAAATGATTAGGTTTAAATATGATTACACAGCTGTATTATGTTGCAAGCATCAATTTTTAATTATTATAAGGTCAATGTTAGAACAAATGTGATTAGTACAATACCTCTGTGCACTTATTTACTTTCCACTCAAAAGCCGTCCTGTGTTTACCCAAATCCACCCAAATCTCTCTCCGCTGATATGGCTAATTAGACTTGTGCCAAATCCTTTTTCTGTCTCTGTGTTCATCCTATGTATATGATTTTGTTGATTCTTTTAGTTTTTGAAGCTACAAATTGTTGAGTGATCTCTCCTGCCTTCATAGAAGGCTATTTGTTTCTGGGTCTGTCTGTCTGTCTGTCTGTCTGTCTCTCTCTCTCTCTCTCTCTGTCTCTGTCTCTGTCTCTGTCTCCCTCTCTCACTCTCTAACACAGAGAGCAATAGTGCTACCACTCTTCTGCCCTTATTCTGCTAGAATAAGAACATATTTCCATATGGTATCACAGAGGACTAATGTGTATGATAAAAGGAATAACCTATCTAGACATAGATTTCCATGCTATTTGTTTATAGAGATTTGCCATGGGTCATAATTTAATTTCCACTGCCCTATATGACTTTGGATTCATCTCTTTAATTTAAAAGACACCACATATAAAAAATGTGGAATAACACTTGATCTACAAATTATTATTAATTCCCAAGATTATCAGCATTGTAGCAATTCATATTTTAATGAAAATGTGATTTTTAAACATTCTTCACTTGTCCTTTAGGTTTCATTTTCCATTGATATAATATTTACATTTTTAAAGCAGCAAGACATTAAGTTAAAACATTTCTGTACCCAGTAAATGAAGTCGTGCAAGATTTCCCACAATGCAAGGTGGTCACAGAGAAGAGAAACTTTGCCTCTAATTTCTGCCTACTTCTTCAGCCTGTTGAGTAGGGGCGTAAGGAACATTTATAAAACTTACTCTTATGTTAGCTGTTACAGCTTCCTTTCCCCTTCATCGTGTTATTTTTAAGTGGTATATTCTGCAAATAATTTCTTTTTACAAAGAAATTCATTAGGTAGTCTTATTGAGAAGTGCTTTATATATAGGATTTAGTGGTAGGATTCTAAGTATCAAAACAAGGAATTAGAAAATACTTTGTGGCTGGAGCATCCTTCCCTTTACCTGTGAAATTATATCACTCAAGATTAAGCATATTCTGAGTGGCTTGTACAAGCTCAGTTGTGACAGTCACTGCTGTTGGCCTCTTTGAAGCATCTTGGGATCAATGTCCCCAGAATCTTTGTACAACGTGGGCTATTTTTAAAAATATTTTTTGAGGAAGGGTATCCGATGTAGTTTGACTAGTTTTGAACTCACTACAAGCCAAGGCTGGCCTCTAACTCGTGGCCTCTTGAGAGCTGGGATTATAGGTGGGGACCACCCTGTCTGTCAGGTACCACCTGGGCTTGGGCAGGGCTGAATTTCAGCCTCTGGTTTCAGAAACTGTTCTTATTTACTAATATACGTCTATAGCCTCAGTGTAGTTGTCATATTTATGGCTACTCAGGTAGTTCATCTAATCTAGTAAAAATTGATAACATTGTAAGATTACTTTCCTACTTCAGACAATTACTATGAGCACTGTCACTGAGTGGAGAGATGCCATCATTTAAAGATGACACACACAGTCACTGTCTCTCTTACCCTCCCTTCCTGCTCTCCAACCTGCCCTTCTCTCAGTCTTTACACACCAGAATTCTATGAAGAGTAAGCATTGCTAGAGGAAGTCTTTGTCTTAGAAACAAGGCACTACAAAAGCTATCAAAATACTATTGTTAAACATTGAAGCTGGAAAAATGTCATGACTGAGTGATTTCATAGCCGGAAGACTACAGAAATATTGTTGATCACAGTTAAAATCCTGCCTTTTCCCTATCAGTCATGAAACTCGGGCAAAAGTCTTTTGAACTGGGGATTGTTACTGTCCCAAGAGTGCTTGCATCTGATATGGCAAAAACATAGAGATTTCTCAATTACTTTTATTTAGTCCAATCCCCTACTGCAGCACAGAATTGAAAAGTCTTCAAAGGAGAAGGCCAGCTGTGGCCTTCATTTTACTGTCCAATTGTCTCTAGAATTGCTTTACCTTTCAAGACTGTATTGATTTAATCCAGATTTTGGACACAGGATAATTTGCATAGATTCTAAGTCAAATTAATTATTCTCTGCTCACTTTGCTGGTCAGAGGAGTCTAGTATTGGGTGTATACATGCCCTGCAATAGAAGGTGTAAGAACTCATCTATTGATATTTTTTGTTTATGTCAGATTCAACTGATATACTTATCCACCCTTGCTTGCTTAGATATTCAATATTAGTCCAAGTTACAGTCACTTTCCTTTTCCTTTATAACAGGAATTGAACTCATGACATTGTACTTGCCAGGCAGGCACTGTGCTGCTAAATCCCCAGCCTTCATTTTCCTCTTCCTTGGTATAAAACAAGAAGTTTCCTGGCTGAAAAAGGAAGCTCACTTCTATTACTGGATGTTTGAGTGACTGACCCAGAGGGAAACCATTAGTGAAGGGCTTCAGTCGTCAGTTATCTTTGTATTTTTTTTTTTTATGCCATTGATGTTCATGCCACAAACCTTAATCTTCCATTGGAAGATTGAGGGCGCTACTCAGTCTAAAGCAAGCTGGGATAGAACTTTGCCAAAACAAGGAAGATTGGAAAGATTACTGGAGAATAAATTTGAAATGCCTGGAGTCATGTTATATAACCTGGTCATATTAGATGCCCTCTGGTGTGATAAAAATGTTTCATGAAGACGCTCGAACAGTCAATTATCCCATGAAAACATGACCAACACCTTCAGGAAAATGAAAATTGTTATCTTAATGAGATAGTTTATATTCATCAGAGAGCAGGCATTAAAAATTAGGACAAAGGGTGGTGAAGAAGAGGAGCAATGGAGCTTATAAGTTATCAGAGGAAACATCCATTGGGGGAACCAGAGGCAGCATTAGCAATGATTACTGAGGCACTGTGTCAGGCATTAACTCTTTGGTTGCTGAATTGTGGGAAAGTTCCTGACGGCTAGGAAATTTGCCATATAAGGGGACCAGCATGTCCTGTTTTATCAGAAACAGCTGTGCTTTAAAACTGGGTGCCCTCTGTCCCAGAAATCCTGTTCAATTGTAGAATACCATGTGGCCATAGCTTCTACAAGAACCCTCAAATGGCTCAAAGCAGCAACTACCTACCCAGTGTGGAATTACTTCAATATTTTAAAAATTGGTCAAGCCATACACAAAGTCAATATGCACATATCCTGTGTATAATGTCACTTGTCCATCACTGGAACAAAGTATCTGACACCTGCAACTTAAAGGAGAGGTTCATTTGGCTGGGTTTCTAGTGGGTTGAGTCCATGGTTGGCTGGGTCAAAGGCAGAGATGGCGGAATGCAAAGGTGTGGGTAAGGAGAGCTGTTAGCCCCTGGCCTCCTGGAGGCAGAGAGCAAAGGCAGGGGAAGGGACAAGAGCCCACCCTCCCAGCTCTTGCCCCAGGCACCCACCTGCCACCGGGCCCCACCTACCAGCCGCACACTCAGTCACAGACTCCCCAGTGGATGAACCCACTGATGATCATAGCTCCCCCATGATCCAATCACATTACCAAAGCCCTACCTCTCAGTGCATGAGGCTTTGCGGGGCAGAACACTATATTTGGTGACACTCAGGTAACACTTGGTGGTACATAGTGGAGCAACTGTGGAACACATGTACTCAGAGACACATTCAAGAGTTTCACAGCAGCACTGTCGTGAATAATGAAAAAATTGGAACAGTTTACACATCTGACCATGGAACTCTAGATGACTGTATCATGTGGTTATATGAAGCAGTTATGTGCAGGGTCACAGCTAGAATGCCAGGATGAACTCATCTCACAAAAACATTGAGCCCAAGAAAGAAGTCGACACAACATATAAATTTACAAAGAAGTGCACATGGATGATAAATACGAAAATTCGTGGTCTTGTTTGTTAAATAAGGGAAGGGGCTTACAAGAGGCTTTGAAGGAATGTTCCATTTCTTAAACTAATTAGTGCTACATGGTTATTCTTTTTATTTTTCCACATTACATATGTTTTAAAAATTGTTTAATATGATACAACAAGAAAATTTAAATCTCAAATGTTAAAACATATTCTTCTTGAGCCCTAACAATTATTGTTATTTTCCATATCCTTCAAAAGAATATGGAAATTAATCATTTTACAAGTATTTATTTTCCTCCCATGAGTTAGGTTTTTTTTTGATCCTGTGAGTTAGTTGTACAAACAATGAAAATTTTATTTTTTATTTTTGGGTACTCATGAGCATTTGCCAGAGAGGTGCTTATGCCACTGAGCTAAATCCCCAACCCTAAGAAGGAAAAATTTAAAAAGCCTAAACCAAAATCCTTGTTTTAAAAAGGCATGAATTCCAGTAAGGGAGAATAACAATAAATCCATAAATAAATATACAAGTACACAGGTACAACCTCTACGGTATAAAAGTCCAGGTGGAGATTAACATTAGAAAGTAACAAAAACAAAGGGGATAGAAGATGATGGTGTGTGACAGAGTGGCCAGAAAATGTCTCATGGGGTTCATGACACATGGTCAGAGGTGTGGAATCAGCCACAGGAATATTTGGGGGAAGAGCACTTTAGGTAGAGTGAAGAGCCCACCCCAAAGCGGTCCTCTACGTTCAGTCTCAGGGAATCGCCTTCTCTCTCCAGGTAGCGCCACTTCCTGTCCATTGACTGGAGGTCTCATGCAGACTCCCTGGCCCCAGTCAGCAGCGTTTTCCAACTGAACTCATTTG